AAAATGTTTAAAGCATTAAAGCAACTATAACTAATAAATAATACAATAATAGAAATCTATCCTATAACAGTATTTTTCTCAAAAAAAGTTGATACATTATATATAAAAAAAAAAAGTGCTCTATTTTTATACTCCATTATTTCAACAAGTGCTAATTTTCATTTGTCATCAATCTTTCAGAGTTTTTTGAAAAAAATATAATATGTGACAATGATTTTTTTTCTCTATTGCTAAATAAGAGAAAGAATGAAAATCAAAGATTTTATATATAGTAAGAAATTCTGGAATATGATAAACCAGAGTATGTATATATGGTATTATATCATTCAGTCTGTATAACTCTTTAATAAACTTTAATGAATTTGGATTACTAGATGAACATGTTAAAAATAGACTTATCCAAGCCAATGCTTTTGTTTTAAATTCATTACCAGGTATTCGATGCTTATATATATCTTGGTATAATTTATTAAAATTATTTTATAGCTGTCTTATTTGTGCTGCCTGTTTATAATCATTGAATAAAATGTTTAAATTAAAATTTTGCAATACTTTAAGTTTATCTTCTCCAGTTAAAGATGTTGATTTTCAAGTTTACTTTCTTGATCTTTTCACTAATAAAAATTAACTTTAATTCATTTCATTTCTTGACTAATTATTAGTTTAATTTTTGTGTTTGTTTTTGCTTGTACTTCTGTCATTAAAAGTAACCATAATTGATCAGTAATTCATAATAAAATATGAAGTTTATCTATGATCTAATGTGTTAATGAAATCATATAAAATAGGAGAAGGTGTTTATGACCTAGAATTTCCAAGTAATTATTATGTATATCTATGATATTTTTAGAAATATTCCAATTATAAGTTTGGATTCTATTTTGATTTTTATGAATTAAACACCAAAGGCAGAAATAATCTGAATTAGCAGCTTTATATCCTATGCAAAGCACTAAAAACTTCCAATCTGCTGAAAAATATAATTGGATTTTCCACTTCCAACCATCTTTTTCAATATACCTGTTTACAAGATTGTTTAAATCTGTGATTAATGGTGTTAAAACTACTTTTAATATATCATATCTCTCAATATCAGGATATAATAAAAGGATAAAATAATAATTAGGATTATATAAATTTGTAAAATTATTTAATAAAGTAAAAGTGACCATAACATGCTTTATTTTGTGTTCTACATTTCTTCCATCTTCAGAAATTTGAAGATGTAACACAGAATCTGTATGATTAATAATTTCTTTTTTTAACCAAGTTGGTATAATATAGGCAAGGATGTCTCTAATTGATCGATAAGTAGCTTTTCTAATTGAATTCATTATTTCTTGTATAATTTCTAAATTACTAATTGTTTCTGTATTTGTTTCTTTATTATTTTCTACTAAATATTTTTAAAATGATGATAAATTTAAATCGATAATATAAATTGGAACAAATCTTGATATTTGAAAATTAATTTGTTGTTGCATCACAGAAACAGCCTATTCCCTTGGTAGATCATGTCCAATTGCAGTTAATAATTGATATGTATTTCATGATATTCTTCTAATATTCATTGCCTTTACAACAGCTTGTTTCTGTAATTTAATATTTTTACTATTTAACTTTTCATAGTTAATATGAAACCTTCATGTACCTACAGAAAAAATTAATTCTTCAAGTAAAACATCGTCTTCTTGATTAAATGTTTGTAATACTTGTTGTTTAAATAAATCTAAAAATTGATTTCCAAATTGTTTGTTATGTTTTAATTGCATTGAATTACTAAGATTATCAAATGGTTTACGCTTTTTTGTTACAGATCATTGATTTTGAATTTTATTAATTTGTTCTAATTGAAGTCCAAAAACATATATACCATTTAATTTAGTCTTTTTTTGTACAGGTTTTTGACCAGTTTTTTGTTCAATATCAAGTAATACTAATTTATTATATTGTCATATATAAAGGTTTGCAATGCCTGATGCACTTTTATTTGATATAACAATTTTAGTATTATTGTTATATATAAATTCAATCATAAATTCAGGTTTTTTGTCTTGATATTGAATTGAGCATGTTATAATTTTTTGTGATTGGTTACTTCTAAAAGTAGTTTCAACAATATAATTATGAGAAACTCGATATTGATTTGGCTTTGCTGTAAAAACAAGAATATCTTTATTAGGATATGTTCCTATTTGAATAATATTATAGGTAAATATGTTGCTAGAAGTTTTTGCCACAATTAGAGAATTTGTATAATCATTAGTTTTAAACATTTTATATACTTAAGAAAGAAATTTTCATTTTTTTAAAAAAAAAGATATTTAGTACATATATATCGTGAAATTTGATAAACAGAAAAAACAATCTGTCATAGCTCTGGTTAAATTTGCAGATCATTTTACCTGATTTAAAGTCAAACAAATTCAAACTTGGTCAAATGATCTGCAAATTTGATTAGAGCTATAACAGATTGGTTTTTCTATTTATCAAATTCCACAAATTAGCTAATATAATCATTATCATTATAATAAGTGCTAATTACAAATGTTATCATATATCAATTCACATAACTTACCTATTCAACAAATAAATAATTTTAAAGCAATTCCATAAATCCACTAATATGAAAACATGAATAGAAGAAGAATAAAATTAAGACAAATAAAATCTAATATAAAACAAATAAAGAACTAAAAAACACAAGTTATTTAATGATTTGGAACTTATCAACAGATATAAACAAAAAAGGACTAGAATATATTTGTAGAAGATTTAGAAAAACCTATATAGTAAGAATTAAAAAAGTTAAAATATAAGGCCTTAGCTGTAATTAAAATAAAAAAAAACATATAAAAATATTTTATAGGCTATATTAGTAAATAATAACAAACTAGTATAAGTAATTAAAGAAATAAAAAACTATAAAGCTAGAAAAAGCAAAGAAAATATACAGCAAAACTGACAAAATTATCAAAAAGTGTCTTAAAAGTCTTACTACTATAAAGTTTAAAGAACAAAGAAGTTAAATCTGTTTATATATTTCTGAATAAAAATAAAAACTAAAGAAGAATATTAACAATTATATTTGCAATAAAAGAAGACATGAAATGAGCTTAATCAAAACTATTTATGTATAACAATTTCTGACTATATTGGATAAAAGAAGAAAAAAGAAAAACATAATGAGTGAAAGACTTCAAGAAAGAAAGAAAAAGAAGCTAAGAAAGGTCTAGCCAAATCTTTGATACAGAAAGAACAGTAGCAGAAAAGAAAAACAAGAATTTAAGTTAAATATAAACAGAAGTAGAAAAAAGAAAAGTTGAAAAATAGAAGATTGAATAGTAGTAAGCAAAAGTAGCATACAAGATCAAATTGCAAAAAATAAAGCAAGACATATAAACTTATCTAAAAAAGAGAAAAAACTATATAAAAGAGAAATAGCCAAAACCAAAACCCAGACACAAGAAGAATTTTTATATACAAATAATATCTTAAATCAAATTTTTAAAAAACTTAAAAGATTAAAAAAGACAAGAAGTATAGCATAAAAGAGTCTAGCTTATTACTTTTAAAGATATTCCAGTTAAATTTATGAGCATAAACTAGAAGATTAGAGAGTTTCTATATAAAAAAAGAAGAAAATTTGAAGAAGTTAATATAGAAACATTTTCTGACTATAAAAAAAAAATAAAATAAAAAATAAAAAACAAGAAAAGTTATAAAAACAAGAAACAAGCAGCTAGAGTGTGACAACTTAGTAAAGTAGATAAGTTGTTATACCTTCAAGTAATAAGTTGTAAGTTTAAAACCTATTGATGATAAAATTTAGATAATCATTTATGTAATATATAGACAATATTATAGCAATAGTATTCTGTTGATTAGTTAGAATAGAATATCTGTAACTATGATTACACTAGCATGACTGGCAGGTCTGGAGCATCTGTATAATCTTGATTATACAGAGGAATGCAAACCAGTACTAGGCAGTACAAACCTAAAATAAGTTCTTGGACCATATAAATCTGTAAAACTAGAAAGCTAAAGCTTACTTAAAAATTCTAAGCAAGGGTGTGGCAACCTAGTGAAGTGGTCAGGTTGTCAACCCTCCAAGTGGTAGATTGGGTGTTCAAATCCCATTGATGGTGAAAATTTGGATAATCACCTATGTAATTGTTGTAGTGTGGAAATAAGAAGGCTTCCACTCTATAACAATACAACTATTAATATTTGCAAAAGCTAAATATAAATAATGTTATCAATAAGAATTTAATTTACAGTACATTAAAAAAATATAATGCTATAGTATCTAATTAAAAGAATAATGGCTTTTTAGAGTTAGCAAAATAATTTGTTAAGAATTAGATATTCCAGTTACTAAAGTAGTAACTAAAATAAAAAAATATATACAAAAAAAAAAATTTAAATCTCTAGAATTAGATTTATGATGAAAAACATTACTTGCTATTAGCTACCTCAAAATCACTATACTACATCATATTACAAAAAACAATATACATTATTGCTTTTATAAAATGACTTTGTATTTTACATATTTGTATTAATACAATAAAATATTATTTTAATTCCTTTGTGAGTTATATGAAACATATAACCAAATATTATTATAAATTGTATAAAGTTTTCACCATAAAATTTACTATTCAAAATTAAATATATTAAATTAATAAAGATATTCAATAGTAATTTCTAGTACTATTAAACAATACCAATCAGACTATTAAAAAATTCAATTCTATTAGTGTTTAAAAGAATCATTTTGAAATTTAAAAAGTCTATATACTAGTAAGAAAGCTTGTAAGACTGCATCATTTGATTCTATATCTATGATCTGCAAAATCTTTTCTTTGATAGTCTCTTTCTCAATTAAACTAAAAGTATTGACTAGCTAAATTTTAAAATACTATCAAATATTAATAATCATAAATAAGGATATTGAATAACTTAAACTGTAAAAAAGTGAATATGGCTATACTGACTGATCAAAAAGATCCAAATTTTATTCAAGATTTGATTTACAATTATATTATCTTTCTTCTTATCTTCTTCTTAGCCATAATGTCATCAATAACATCATTCATTATTTTCTTTTTTATGTCTATTATTTCAGACTCCTTTTTGAATTCCATTATGTTATCATAATTTTTTGTATTGCTTGCAAATTCATTTGTTGATTTATTGATTTCATGGTCTAAATCGATTAAATAATTAATATAACTAGATCTATAATAAATATAGATAAATTATCAATTGCATTTTTCATTGCATTTTTCATAGCTTTAAACATTTGCTTATTTGATGAAAGAGTCAAAAAAAAATTTTTTTAGATATAATTCACAATGAAATAGTAGTTTGAAACAAAATTTTATCTGAATCTGTAATAAAACAGCTTGAAGTTATATAGTTCTAACAAGATAATTTTACATGCACTCTATTAAACCCAAATTAACATAAAACTAAAAGAATAAGCTTTATTATAATAGTTGAATTTCTGTAATATATTCATACTAATAAGTATAAATTAAGTATCGAATGTTGTAATAATGAACACTTATATATATTAAAGTATATAAAAGCCATTATACTATTTAATTTGCTTTAGCAGATGTTTTTATATTAGCTATTAATTTTTTCTAGCAAGATCCAGCTTTGTCTTCTTATAATCTATTTCATGTTGTGTTTTTTAAATTATATTACACTTATTTATAAATCACTAGAGATCTATGAATAATAATTGTAGGATTAATATTAAGTATAATCTCACAAATTTTTGTTTTTGACTACATTTGAATTGTGAATAAGAAAATATGCTATAGACATGTTTCGATTTGCATGCATCTGATACTTAATAAAATCTATAAAGCTAAAAAAATAAAAACTGTAAGAGATGTTGATCTTATAGTAAAGGAATCAAAAAAAAATATATACAAGTTAATATGCATTAAGTTGTCAAATGAATGATGTAAATTAATTTCTTTTAATATAATAATAATTTAAATAAATTTTGATTGTCAATAAATTTATATCATATATTAATTAAACATTAATAATAAATTTGATCTATCATAAAACTTAAAAATATATAACCTGCTTTTGAAATATGATTTACTTCATCTTTGATTTGTTGATGCCTTTATTGAATTTTCATCTTTGATTGTATTTGATTTATATCTTGAAATACTAAAATCATCCAGGTTTGTTATCAGTTTTTATATTCATGTACACCCCAATTTGAATCTTTAAAAATCCAACTTAATGTTTTATATGCTCCTATTCTACTAAATATACAGTAATAACATTCCTGGCTTAGTGAATATTGTTTAATATTATTATGAAAAATTTCTACAAACAAACTTTCTAAGCATGTTGCATTTACGTGTTGTTTTCATTGTTGACACCTATTTTTCAAATTGTTTTGAATTAAAAATACTAATGTTTTTTTAAATTCAGTGACTACTTCAAGTGGTTAAGATATTAAACCAGCTCAAGGAATATTATAATTGGAGTGAATTAGTGCTTCATGTTAGCTTAGCCCTTTTAGATTCTTATAGCTTTTGCCTAAACATAAAACACAGTAAATATGTGAAGAATTAATAAATAATAAAGAAATAAGATTATTCTTCTGTTTGTGAATTTTACTCTGATACAAATGTAACCCTTTAAGAGTTTTAAATAATTTGTTTGAGCATAAGGGGCATAAAATGTTCGACACACTTTGATTTTCTATTTTATTAACAAAAATGTTTGGTTTGATCATTATATATAAGTTAATACCTAGCTTTTTGAAGCTTTCAGAATAGTTTTTCTTGCATATACAAACAAGAGATTGGTTTTGATGTTAGAAGATTGGTTTGACACTCAGTTTATTATACAAAAGATTGAATTTGACATCAGAAGATTGGTTTGACACTCAGTTTACTATGATAATTATTATATTGATATGATTTTTTGATGATCAGAAAATTATTTTTGTAGGTCAGATGATAACTAAATAATAAATCAAATTTTGCCAATCTGCTAATATGTTATCTTTGGTTCTCAAATTGCTGTAACTTTTCTTTTGATATTTCTCTTTATGTTGTGTTTGCTTTTTCATACTGGCTTCTTTTTCTTTCAATATTATTCTATACTAGTTGCTCTTCTTTTTGCTAATTCTTTGTATTATTTCACTTCTGTCATATTCACAGTCAAAGTTTACTTCTATTTATAAGTTTCCTTTTTTAAAGACTTCTCTAATATCTTTGATATATAC